AAAAAAAAAATAACAATTATTCTAAACAATCGCCAACAATCCGTCCACTATCATGCAAGCAACTCTCTAAAATGTTTGGTCCAAGTTCTGCAGAAAAGTCTATTCAAACACAGTAATGAACGCAATTGTCTCCTCTTCACAGTCCCCTCGCGCGGCCTGTCTGTCCTTGGCTGTGTGTACCATTTATGAGTTGTTTAAAAGAAGACTTAAACACTCCTTCACAAGATCTAAGGAACTTGTGGCTCACAATGGGAAATGTTCTCTTTTTCAGTGGAGTATATTAACACTCTATCATTTTTGTACCCATACGTTTCCTCGCTGAGGGCTGGGTGTGTTATTTTTATTATGTATTACAGCTCGGAGCAGCTGTTGAACACTAATCCATGTTTAAAAGTTAATCGTTGTTTTAATATCTTTTGTATGGAGGTGGTTTTCACTGCTAATGTCTTACACAATTTGACAGAAATAGTTAATAATAAAGGGGGGAAAGCTTGAAATCTAGCTTTTAACTGAAACAAAATTCACTCTGATGCTATTCGTGGTCGGACAAGTTGGACAAGACCCCAAAGACACTCGAAAATTCTCATGCAATCGAATCACCCGTAAGTGGAATTATATCCGGGACCATAAAAAAGGGTTCACTTAGTAGACGTGTCTCTTATGAGATGTTAAAAAGGTAATTTTTGTACGTGGCTGGGACCATGAATAAGTAAACGCCCACGGGAGCCCGGAGTTCAGCGGAGGTTCAACTATGTTACAAATAAAGGATGGCCAATACATCCTTGATTTTCGGGGGTAGGGTGGAGGATGGCAAAGCTATTCTTGATCAGAAAAACGTTAGACCTTTCCCGCATTCCACTTCAGTGCGTACGAACAATAGTACCAGAGCTAGGTTGGGGTGCACATTTTCATAAATTTGCTGTATTTTTGTCCACCCTGGCCTCGACTTGGCGCCATTGTTTGTTGGAATGCGGGAAAGGTTCTATTCTTGCCCAAATATAACATAAATGCCCACTCCCCCTTCGCGCGAAGATAAAGTACAGTATTCCAATCCTAACTGTAAACGTTCCCCTCGCTGAATTTGATTTCCCATCACGATTTTCTTTGTTCTAATCAATTTAATCATTTATTATTATAAAGAGAGATTGAATCGTAATCACTTGGGACAGAAACTAAAGGAGCTACGTCAGGGATAGTCACGCAAGAGACGCATTGCGTGACTTCGTCAAGTAAACGTTGCTCAAACTTTTTTAAGTTCGTTTTTTCGCGATCCATCTCAATCTCCCTCAGTCATAGCCATGTTCCTTTTAAGTCTATTGTCACCTCTTTAGTGATATACTGCTCTTTTTGGAGTTTCCTTTAGAATTAAGGATAGGTTTGTACATGGTAAAATTGGTGATATTTATCCTAACATTGCTGCTGTAAGCAATACCTTTCACACCGACTGAGCTTGTTTAGCTAATGAAATGGTAAAAATTTAATGCCAGAAACTACGTGTAAGTCTTAATTTTGCAAGGTGTTAATGGAGCTTCCATGTTCAGCTTCAATGCAGAGCGTAGAATTAATAAGCTGTTTACTCTTTTGTGAAATGGGGTAATTCTGATGGTTTCACTTCAGAAATGTAAGTAACAATTGTTCGTTCAATTCTGTTTTCTGTTCAAATCGTATTAGTAGTTGGGGAACGAAATAGATAGCCGACTACCAATGAGTGGCAACCTAAACGACCACCTATTAAACGGACACCCCTGTTTGGTGGCCAGTAAACAAAGTCCCGATGAGGGCTTTTCATTTGACCCTTTGCATAAATGGTACCTAAATATAAATAGCAATACTTATACATCCTTAGCGTCGCATTCATGTTTCTAAACAAAGCGTTTTCACATGAATGTGAGGCTAAGGTGTATAAATATGGGTTATTCAAATTTAACCGCCGTTTGTACTCCATTTCCCCGAGGGTGACCGTTAAACAGGGGTTGAAGTGTATTTCTCGCGTGAACTCTTGCGTGTCAACCAGACACTCCGCGCAGTTAGAATGATCAGCAACCTCTTTCACCACCATATCCATCTTCTAATTTCATGGCAATTAAAACTGTCCAATTTTAAGGGTCTTAATAAAATGAAGGAGTTGTTTTAATGGTTTTGTGGCGTTTATTGTAAAAGAATATCCATGGCCCGTGTATTGGGAGGATATAGCTACTTAATTCACACTTGGAGATTGCATTATATACAATTTTCTGAAATTTTCCACAAAGTTTTTCCACTACTCTTTGATATGTCAAGGTTATAACTTCACACGGTTGATCGTTTTATCTAAATTATCTAATGTGCGACCCTTCACCATTTCTTGATTTTAAGTAACAATGTTAGTAGTTACAAGTAACAAATATTATTTATACCCTGTAAATATCTCACTGTGGAAAATTATTGGTTTCCTGTGTTTAATTTTTACTGGTTATAGAGAGACCAGCCTGAAGTTTTACTTTTTACAGAGCACGCAAATTTCATGAGTTCTTGTCAGAAGTCGGTGTCTAAATTTAGCAAGGGCAATTCAATTTTACGAAAACTGTTATCTTAACGTCATCCTAGAGAAGAATCCGCACTACTCAGCAAGCTACCCGGAGTGCAATTCGGGCAAAAACAGTAACACCGCACAAAAACGCGAACTCGTGAAATGGGCAATTCAAACTTTCTTTACAAAGCTTTACTTTCTTTCCAAAGAAACGGTTCTTTCTTCCCCATTTGCCTACTGGAACTATTGAAGGTAGAACTATTCAGTTTGAATCCGAGGAAAAGATAGTGCACAGTACATTGTTTCGGGAAATTCCCGATTTCCGGGGTCAAAGAAATTTAAATTGGAGGTAAATATTGAAATGGCGAATTTTACCTCTTGAAAGTCAGTGGGAACGATCTTTGTTTACAAATTATTAACATTGATGCATTTGCAACATTTTAGTTTAATCTCGCAACCCTTTGATTATGTTCGACTGATATAAGATACAGATGCAGACTAAGGGCAAGACCTAAGATTTCAATCTCTGCCGGCAATTTCCTTCGGTCGTTCAGAAACCGGTGTCCGAAGCGACGATGAGCACTCGCTCGAACACAAGACAGGGACCCCTACTTGGGTTGTCTTTTTATCGCTCTTTGGCACTCTGTTTTAACTCTTAGTTCTAATTCTTAAACGCGGAATTGACCTCTCCGCTCGCGCCTGAAGGCAATTCAGACAAATGAAACTGCTTGCTGCTCTCAACCATTTCATACGCGTTACCATTTCTAGCGTTCTTCTCGACCGCCAATTCAAATGGAGTCTTAGCCCTCATACTGCCGCTTGGCTCAAAGTCTTCGTCATCAACAAAATGCGGGGGATGGGGTCGCCCTGTCTCCTGGTCTTGGGGGCCCTGCGCTGTCCCTGGCCTCGACACGCCGTTCTTTTCCCTGTAGTAAACATCGCCACTTTGTGGATGCGATATCCTGCTGGCTTCACTGTTCCGTCTGTTTGGCTCTTTGGGCTGTAGTGAATCATCTGTATCTAGGCCATACCTATGAAAAAAAAAATATATCTATATATTAGAAAGATAGTTTTGAGCGAAGTGGTTAAAGGCGTGGAAGTCTCCATCACCGAATCAGATGGTCCAGGTCGAAACTCGGTGGTCGAAGCGTTTGTGTTATGTTCCCGGTAAGACCCGTGAATCTGTTCGCTTGTGATATTTGCGTCAGTTATTGCTTTTGGGTGGAAATTGTTTTTGGTGAAATCGATATTGCCATGGAAGGCTTCTTTGCCAGGAGACCACAGACAGTTTCCTTGCACCTGTTGTTTTAGTTTCTTTTCCAACTCTTTCTTTGACCTTGTTAACTGTTGCCGAATTACTATTCAATTGTGCTTTGACTATAACCAGAAGCATATATGCTTCTGCTATAGCTCATTACAGTATTGATAATGTCAGTTATAATGGTAAGGAGGCATTCAACCAGTCTGATATTGCTTATACGAAGACACTTTCACATAATGCTTTGAATGTGTTAAAGCTCTTAAAAACCCCCTTTCCAATCCGGAGGTTTTGCAAATGTAAATTTCCTAAAAGAGTTATGGCACTATTTCTGTTCATTTCTCCCTTCCGATTCATTCTTGTTTCACAAAGATTGAACTACGTTAGTTCGCTCATTCAACATTTTTTAAATTTAGAGCGAGGGGAAGGGGCAAAAATAGTTGAATAACAATTGAAATGTACAGTACAGATATGTATCTCCAAAACACATATATAAAACCGTAGACCGTATAGACTCCCTTTGTTCATGACAATGGTTAATAAAAAGGTTCACCCCTGGTGGCCTCTATGGAAATCCAACATAATATAAGCTGCAGTGTGCCAGAGTAGTCTTATACGCTCGACTAAGTAGGCAAGCTCGATCTGATGTCGAGACCTAATTAGCATTAAGTATGACGTTACACGTCACATGATGGTTGATTGATGGGTGATGGCTGTCTTACCTTCCAGAAGGTTTGGGTCTCTTTATAACCAAAACCACAACTATGATGACGACTATCAGAAGAAGGAAGGCGGCTACGATGACCGTCCACCACATGGTTTTCAAAAATCCGGCTGTCAAAAAAAAAACAACACAAAACAAAAAAAACAATTTATTATTACACTGTTACGTCATTTTACCATATCAGATCAAGAAATAGCGTAAAATATGAACCCGCATTACGTGTCAAACCATTGAATAAAGGCGTGAAACGTCTACACTCCTAAACGTAAATTAAACAGATGTGGAAGAATGGCGCCTTATTAGCGCATACTTTTCGCAAAATTTATGCAACACAGGCCATTGTACATCCAGGGAGCCTATTTATTTTTTAATTTCTGAGTCGTTGGTTTTATGGTTAAGCCGCCGATTGTGCCGTATTACACAGGCTTAGTGATTACCTTCGCATGAACGACCATCGCCATCGTATCCATCGTCACATTCACAGTCAAATGACCCTTCTGTATTCACGCAAGTCGCATGTTGACCGCAGTCATCTTGGTGAGTCTCGCACTCGTTAAAATCTTTGGAAAA